AGCCAGGCCTCTCGTGGGGGGGGCGCGAAGGGGGCGTTTTCGGTGGGCTTCACGCCCAGACCTCGGAGGGGTCGTGGCTTCTCCTCCTCATTATTATTTATTTACATTTGTTCCTTCCAACAAATTATTATTATTATTATTATTATTATTATTATTATTATTATTATTATTATTATTATTATTATTATTATTATTATTATTATTATTATTATTATTATTGTGCCTGTTTCAGCTACAGATGTTGGGGAGGGGACAACTACTAATGACAACCAAACTACAGGAACAGAAGTGTTTTGTTCTATTGACACATGTATATATAGTGAATTCTTAAACCTGTTGTTTCTTCTTCCCAACCTGCTAATTTGCTTTCAACATGCATTCTTGATATCCTTCCAAAGTACTGTATCAGGTACATTTATGCTTAATCCAGGAGTTGAATTTTGGTTTGAAGGTATTTCACTTGGTTTTAGGCAAAAAGCCATGATAGGCAGACTGTAGTAGAATTTGATCTTTTTCTCCCCGGCTGTGGAAATAAGTGACTTTTCTCCATTTTTCTGGCAGGATAATAGTACACTATACTGATCTGAACGTGTTTGTCAAGTATAGGCATTCTGTGTCCATTGAAATGGCAGGGAGCTTCTCCTACAAACTAATTGAACAGCTCTAAAGCAGTGATTCACAACCTTATATCTCACTAGTCAGTCTGTCAGTTTGGATGCCATTCACACTTCTGGCCTTCCTGTGTAGCAGGAGGGGAAATGGTGCCAGGCTTGGAGTATCTGGAAGTCAAACTGCTCGGCAAGGGGTGGGTGAAATCCCGCTTCCTCTTTGGGGCTTACCAGAATCCATGCGCTGTTTTGCGGCGAAGAAAGGGTGGCAGCCCAGGCACCATTTCTTACCAGCTGGAACTGCCATACATTTTCTTATAGGAGAAAGGCATGCCTAACTTACCCAAAGGCTTGAATCTTATCTTCATGTTGACGTGATCAGAAGGTGGCACCCAGGAGAGTAGGAGAAATAACCCACTCAGCAGATTGGAACATGACATCTTAAGGCGGCTCCTGCAAAACCGGACCCTCTCCAGCCCAGCAGGGCAGCTTCGGGAAGGTTCCTAGCGATAGCTTTTCCCTGTCCTCATTTCAAAGGTAGACAATCTCTGAATACAGGAGCTCCCTTATTTTATATCCAGGCGCCAGCTATCTTTCCCGTGATGGAGCTAGAAAGGCATGCAGAAATCGCCAGGCACTCGCTGGGCCCTCCCTGCCATTTCCCTAGCTCTAAGGCAGAGGGTACATCTGGGGGTGTATTTGGGCCAAGCCAGGGCATCCCCTCCTATCCCTCAGGTGATTCTCCTTTCTGAAGCTGATGGAGGATCAGAAAGTCCTCAAGGCTGCTCTGGCTGCTGTCTGGAGCTTCCATGTCCATCAAACCCTGTAAATTAAAGAGAAATCCTGTCTCTTTAGTCCAAAAGATGTCCCCTGCTATGAATACTCTCTGGATCAAGTCAGTTCTCCCTTTTTAAACAAGGGATGTCTCTTCAGACAAGAGGCATCCAGAAAATTTGCAGGGAAGATCCTTTTTGTGCATTGTGTCCATCACTGCTTGGAGTGAGGGTAAAGGTGATGGGGACAAATGGGGTGGAGAAGCTGTAAGAGCAAGAGGAAGGTGCTTTCCTCTCCCCCCAAGACCCCTGTTTCCCATTGCAAGGCCACCCACTGTCCAGTTTCTCTCCCTCAGGCCTGTTTCATGCTTGAAAGAGGCTTTAAGTCCTGTGGTGTTGGTTGGAAGCAACGTTTGGAGGGAGAAGCACCGGGTGGCCGGTACCTCTCCTCAGCAACACCCTGGCTCCCAGCGCTTTGTTGCCGTCCACGAGCAGGAATCCTTGCCCGTTTATGCCTATAATTTGTAGGTGAGGGCCAAATGAAAGCCTGCCTCATTAACCACCATGTTGGCTGCCACCTTGCAGCGTGCTGTAGAATGGGAGGGACACCCTTTCATCCTTTCCCGAAACGCTTCGGGGTCCACCGGTCTGGTCTCACACAGCAGCTCCTCCTCCTTGCACTCCTGTTGTTGCTGCTCAATGACACTGAGACGAGAAGACCCAACAGGTCAGAAACTGATGGCATAAGAGCCCCACAGGATGAAACCAGGGGTCCAGCAACTAGCCCCCACTCCCACTTCCAGAGGCACTCATGCAAGCCACAAGCAGACCTTGCAGACCGCCATCATCCCCCCCCCTTTGCTATCCAGCAACTCATAAGTGCTGAGTTCCAGGAATCAACCAACAGAAACGGTCACAACGTACTTACAGCTTGTAAAAGGTGGACAAGGAGGCAGATTGGGGGTTGGGGCTGGGAAGCAGTCACCCTAAAAGTAGCCTTTCCAAGCTCTGTGTGTAGGACAAGATCCCTTTTAGAAACAGAGGAGGGTTTTCCTGGACCTTCTCTAGATGTGTCTTGCAGGGGATTTGAACAATATGAGAAGAAGCTGCGCCCAAATTCTGTCCTTTACGCAAGGCCATAGTTGTGTAGGGCCTCTCACTGCTGTGCAGAGGAAGGGCACCTGCTTGGTAATCAGTTCCTGGGATCTCCAGATATGAAAGGATAGAGGCCCAGTCCTTGGGATCTCCATTTCTGGAAGATTTTGGAGAAGTGCTGCCAATCTGAAGTCGGCAATCCCCCTCCCCCAGAACGACTCAGTGAAAGGCGAATGTTACACAACCCTTAAGTTCCTCGTGTCACCTGGCAGCCAACCTGAGCGCATCCCAAGAAAGCGCTGTTGATCCTGGATATCTTTTCTGCCCTAAAACCTCCGTCTTCCCCCAAGAGGCTTCGCTGGAATGAGCCACAGGTGACTGACCACAATCTGAGGGAGCTGCAGGGCTTCCCTGGAGCCCAGGTACCACAGGAGTCCATGTCTCTGAAGTGCTGATCATGAGAGGAGATCCCCCCACAGGCCAACTATATTTAGTTACAGGATTGGGAGAAGTCACTTTCTGAGAAGAGAACCTCCCGCATCCCAAAGAGATCAGGGCCAGCTAAGATCTGCTGAGATGTCAACCACAGGGTTCTCCGTGTACCTGCAGTTACCCCTCTTCTCTCCTGCTTCATCACCTCCAAGGCTAAGGAAGGAGGGGCAATTCCTTGCTCTTCTCTCCCTCCCTTTTCTCTGCTGATTAGAAACTGTGGGGATTCAGGCTGGAGGGTCCCTGAGGGCAGGGTCCCGGGTTTCGTTTGGCTTTAGCAAACGTTTGTGATGCCACTGCCTTGGCTGTTCGGGGTCCCGCCTGGCAGGTTAAGGAGCAGGCCTTCCTCTGCTGGGGTGCCTGCAGAGCAGGAACACGGGCACCACCTCACACGCTGAAAGAGAGAAAAAAGAGCAAAAAACAAAATCAACGTTTTGAGAGGCAGAGCTGTTTGGGTGCGGTTAGTGCCCACCTGGACTGCCAGCAAGAGATCATGATGGACTAACCTCTGAACTCATGTCTCTTTTCAAACTCTCGTGCCTGTCTATGGCTGTGCGAAGAAGACTGGGCGGTTTGGTCCTAGAGGGTAGGTTGTGTGTGTGTGTGTGTGTATTGAACTTTATCCTTCTCCTTCCTCCCCTTTGGAGGCTTGTATGGGGAGGGGGGACCCAGCACTTCCTCTCCCCTCATCCTGTTTGGCTGCTCTAAATGTCTGGAAGACGCTCTGCTCTGTTACCCTCTGGGGCTATCTTGAAACACTCCCCCACTAGATCAGACGGCAGCAGCAGAAGAAGAGGGTCATTCCCCCCCCTTCTTCACAGGATTGGCCCCATTTGAGTCTCCTGCACCTGTTCAGGACCTGGGCTCTTTTCAAGGAAGTGGACGGGCACAGCCAATCCCCACTGGGAGGGGGTCACCGTGTTTCTTGGACGCAGGCATCTCTGCCCATTGACAGGGGCGGGAAAGTGGAGGCCCTCTTGTCCCTCTTGCTTGGGGAGGACTTTTGCTTTCTGCCAAAACTAACACCAGAAGCAGCAGCACTCAAAGGCTCTCAACCTCCCCCCTCCTAACGAGCAGTGGAACAATAATATTTTAAAAGCCCAGCCTGTGTATGCGCGTATGGAGTGATTCCTGGGACTGGGATCCCTCTGGCAGAACTAGCCCGGTGGCCAGTAGTCTCGCAGGCACATCCCGGCAGAGGCGCTTCGAGCAGTTAAACTGAACTCTCCGGACCTTATTGCTTTGCTGTTTAGGGTACTTCGTTTTAGTTTTATCTGAAGTCTCTATGGGCTTTGTCTTTATATAAAGTATATACAAAATTCTATCCAATACCCACAAACCCGGACAATTTCCCTCTCTTAACCCTTTCTTTTAGTTTCCCCTCCCACTTGGTGCACAGCCACAGAGTTTTGTTGGGCTGTTTTGAAAATCCCTATTTTAATTTATTTTATTTTTAACCCTCTTCATTTCACTCAAAAGTAAGTCCCAAGACTGAATATTCATTCATTTATCCCCACTTTTCCCCTTAAAATGGACCCTAGGCATCTTAGATCATAAAAAGGCAATATTTGACGCTAACAACAGTAAGTGTAAAAATATTTTAAAATATCAGATACCACACTTTAAAAAAACAGTAAGCAAGAGCAGCACCAGCAACACATTCAAAGCAGTAAAGCACAATTATCTACAGTATTTGAAAACCCCACTCAGACGGCCTGTCACTTGGGAAGCTTGCTGAGGTTAAATAGTCAGGTTGTTGCTTTGATATGTAGCAAAGGAAGTGTGTTTTTTCGATTCTGGTGACCCCTTTCCTAGATCAGAAAAAGTGGCTTGAAACCAGGATGGGCAAAATGCACTCCCAGGACATTGATGGGCTGGGGGAGAGTTGTGTTTTTTGAAAAAGTGGTTTTTCCACTTTGAAAGGATTCCAGTAGCAATGATTTTTACATTATGTAGGTTGGGGTCTTGATCCCCCAAACCTCTAAAAAACACACTACAAATAAACATCAGAATTTCCCCTCTCCTCCTATTTTCAGTGCGCTCTCTGCTGGCTGGGGGCTAGGAGCCAAAAGACGCCCACCCTTGCTCTCTGCTCGGCCCCACCAGCCCTCCTGGTCGCTCACTCTGAACGCTCTCTGGACATCCTTCTCAGCGCCATGATGTGCGGACGCTGGAGATGCTCGGTTGAAGCCAAAGTCTTGCCCACAACCAAGAGCCACCAGCAGGAGAGCCCTGAAGCCGCTTCTCTCAGCAGCCCGGTCCAGAGCACGAATGACCAGTCAGTCGCCCTGGGCTGGCTGGGAATCGTGTTGCTGCGGCAACCACGTACCAGTTGCCCTGGGCTGGCTGGGAACTGTGTTGCTGCAGCAACCACGTAAACAGACCAGGCTCTGGAATCCTGCAGAGCAACCACCCATTTTCGAATGAAAATACTAGCCTAGGCTTTCACAGAGCTCAGTGGTGGTTATGTAGGCTGGGCTGCCAACTGCTTCCCTGGTCTGGCTCCTGTGCCTAGAAGCAGCAGCCAGAGGTCTTTTGAGAACACCTGCCGAGTTGCCTAAGGGCGATGTTAACTTCTCACAAACACAAAACACATGTTCCTCCTTACTTCCCTTCCTGGCATCCTGGGACATTTTGCTCTTCTTTTCTATGTCACTACTAGCCTGTTGGGAAAGTTCAACCCCAGCATCTCCCGGAATGAAGGTTCCTGAGACACAGGGGTTGATCCTGCATATCTGGACTGGGCTGGGTGGGGCTCCCCTTCTTTTCCCACCATAGGTGCCAAGGACCAGAGATGGTCTCCTGGGTAGTCAGCTTCCAGAAACTTCTAGGTCTCACGTCTCTGTGTGAAGGTTGGAGACTTCTGTCTCCCTTCTGCATCTCAAATCTGGATCCATCCCACATCACATCCTGTGCTTAGGGGATACCCATTATTGGAGAGAGTGTGACTTGTTTTTTAAAAGATGCCTCCTCATTTCTGTGACCAACACTAAACAGCCTTGATCAGGCCTGATCCACCTAGTGGTATTGTCTTGAATAAAGATGCAACTGTTCTTCCATTCAGCCTTTGGATGTGGGATGAGGAGGAACTCCATCTTGTTCTTTGCAACATTATTTAGGTCAGCTTGAGATGTCCAACAGAAACACAACTGCTATAAAGCACATGATGGTGTACTTCATGGCAATGGCAATACCTAGGGTCAGTGCAAAGGGATAGGATCTGGTTTGGGGGCAGAGCCCACATAAAAATCATGTGAATGAGTATCCATGACTTGGATTCATGTTTTTCTCCCACTTCAAAGCCATGCATTGTGTTGTAGTCTGTGCATACAGAAGGGGCTTATGTCTGGACAGTGGTTTGGGGATGATCTTACATCAAAATCATGTGACTCCATGAGGATCTGTGCCTGAGATCCACATTCACTGCATTAACATGCCCTGAAGGTCACCTTCTATGTCTCTGGGTACAAATGGTACTTACTGTTTGGCAATGGTTAAGGGGCAGATCCCATATAAAAATCACATGGATCCATGAGGATCCGTGTCTTGGACTGCCATTTCTTTTGTTTTCAACATTTTATTTTTCATTGTATCTACATTCAGTTTGTGCTTGTTAAACATGGAGTTACATGGGTTGCTTATATTTGAGTTTTTTGCATCTTGGTGTCTTCTTTGGTGTCCCTTCAAAATCTATGCATTTTTAAGCATTTTAAGCCCATTCATATGTGTATTTTAGTGTATGATATTGGCTATTATAATAATATTACTCTCATAGTATACAATGTTCTCAAAGCAATGCAAAGCCATGCACTGAAGGACCCACAAGTCCTGTTGTGTAGTCTGTGGGTGCACATGGGACCTATGATCTGGCAGTGGTTTAGGGAGGGTTGTACCATGCATCTAAAAATCATATGAAATCAGGAGGATCTATACCTCAGATCCATGTTTTGCACCACTGCAAAGTCATGTGCTGAAGGATCCATGATGTCTTGTTGCATAGTCTGTGGGTATATAAGGGATCTATGATTTGATGGTGATTTGGTGAGGATCCCACATAAAAATTGTATGAAAGAATGAGGATCCGGCTTTTACTTTTCTCCATCGTACTTAACGGGTTAGAAAACCTCACTGCCACCAATTAGACACGTTGGATTCGGAAAGCGTCAACTTTAGAAAGTGTCCCTGAAGGCATGATACATTTCAGAGCCAAATGATTGCAGGAATTTTTTTTTAAAGAAGAGATGAAATAAGACAGTTTTATGCATTAGGGCAGGTGCCATCGAAGCGACCAACATGAATTTAACCCAACTCCGGGAGGCAGTGGAAAACAGGAGGGCCTGGCGTGCTCTGGTCCATGGGGTCACGAAGAGTCGGACACGACTTAACGACTAAACAACAACAAGCAACATTCTCACGAAGGCTCCTTCTGGAAGCCCGCGCTATGGTCGAACTCTGGCGACTGCAGCCCAGCAAACAACGCATAGATGTCTAAACGAATGCGTTTCCTATTGCGCAGTTGTAGAGTAGATGACACTCTAACTTCTACACGTACAGTATTGGAATAATTCGCAAACAATTCAATTTCCCTGCCTCTCCAAGATTCACGGAGCTACGGAACTAATTGTCTGGGCTTGAGGGTTACGAACTGGGGGAATAAAAGAGAGGCGGAACTTTATGGCGGAAGCGCTTAGTGGAGGAGGGGGGAACACTTAGTGGGACGGACAGGTTGAGTGTGTTCTCGCTGCTTTGGAAATAATGTGGCGGAGAAGTGTTGTCCTTCCAGGGAGCTTCTGTGCCGGTATTCACCTGAGGGCCCCGGGACGGGATGTCGTGGTGCCGGACAGGTACTGCATTGCCTCCGGGCTCGGAGGGCTGGAAGACGGCTGCTTCCCAGAACGTGTCGGGCACTGCTTAGTATCCCTTCTCTGCAGCAGCCCTCCCGTGGCGGGAGCATTTCCTTGCAAAGCGTTTTGTTTGTGCGCCTACAGTATTTATGCTGCTTCTAGGCTTTCTGCGGCAGTCGTAGCGAGGGGAGGCTTGTTTACAGAAGAGAATAACCAGGCTTCCCCCCCCCCTTCCCATATCTATTACTGAACAAAGCACGGTGCAGTAGATTAAGGGGCAGAAGAGAGGAATGTGTGAATGGTGAGACGGTTCAAACAGGTGAAACTAAGGATCTGTATCCCAAGATTATAGTTCGTGCAGGTATGCATTCATAGCTAAAACAGTAGGATTGTCTTGGCAGAGTGTGAAAGTCTCACTTTAAAAACCGCTGGCTAGACAGCAGAAAAATGCAGGGACTTAAGAGCAGAATTAACTTCACATCCCCCCAACGTAGACCACCCCTTAATTCTAACACTAGTTGAGTACTGAATAAAAAAGGGCAGGAAAAAACTTTTAAATGGAGAGGTGTGACTCTTCAAAATCAGAGGCAGAGAGGGAAGAAGGTTGCTGCTGGATTGATTGATTGATTGATTGATTGATTGATTGATTGATACCCCAGCCTAGAAAGGTCCCTCCCAGCAGAAACTCTAAAAGACAGCATAGGAAGGTTGCTAAAGCTCCAACAGATTGTACAAAGGATGTACCAGCCCTGATTGTTTGACCAGGCTTCCATAATTTGGTGCTCTTCAAATGTGTTGCATTACAACTCTCATTATGCTGAACCAGTAAGGCCATGTGGGCTGAGAGCTACTGTCTTGGCTCATTTGGAGGGCTCTGACTTGGGGAAGCCAAACCAAGTATACCTCTTTCCTTTGTTTTCTGGGGTTAGTCACAGTTCAGTGACAGCTAGGTTACAAGTAGGGCTGCCAGCAAAATGTTGCAGTGTATACCCAACCACATCAGGTTACATCCTAACCCTCTGGGGGTGCTTGTTGCAAGAGGACTTAAGCAAGCCAGTTCTCTCTTCTGTCTTGTTCTCTAGCTTCATCTTTAGTTTGCCTTCAAGTCAGTATTTTATAAGCCCTGGAAACTTACAGGTCTTTGCCAGTCTCTTCTTTGATTGTAATAATTTCTTTTTCTTTTAACTTAAAAAAAACATACTTTTGCATATCTTAAGTAGAAACTGCTAACTTATTTTTGGTGCCCCTGTGCCCCTTCTACCTTCTTGTTTACTATTAGACTGGAATGATTGGGCTGTACATAGCCTTTGTGTGCATATGCAAAGTTAAAATGATTTTTCCCCTATGTCAGTTTCAATTTGATGTGTTGTAGGCCAAAAAATATAGCACTGGAAATTCTTTATACTGAAATTTTAATTAAGGAATCTCTCAAATGCATAAAAACAACAAGCCCTTGTGTGAGACGTTACAGACAACCAAGATTTATTTGGCATAGAGATTGGGAGTTTAATTCCCCACTGTGCTTCCTTGATAGGAGCTGGATTAAATGATCTATAGGGTCCCTTCCCGTTCTGCAGTTCTAATATGATGATATAACTATTTTCACGGACCGTAGCCCATTTCTTCATGTATACTGTATGTAGATATCAATTATCTATGATAGCTTATGCCAAATACTTTTTAGTGTTTAAGGTGCCATAAGCACTCCTTGTTTTTATTGCAGCATGGCTATCTCTGGACATTTCTCAAATACCAAGGTATGTGTGGTACTGACCCAATGATTTTCCTAAGGTCTGAGCTTATAAGATAACATTTACAGCAAAAGACACTATGGCAATTTACTGTCTGTTGATATTCCATAAAGCTGCAGCTTTTGGAAATAGGCATATTCAGTACATTTTGAGAGCAAAGTATTCTGGAATAAAAGACCAGAAATAACTCATAAATACTATAGTGTAAATTGTCTAGTAAGAACACAAAAAGACTGCAGTCCTGTTGCTCATATTGTTATGCGTGTTTCTAATGGAAAGCACCTTGACAGCTGACTTGTAAAACAGATGGCTAGTATATATCTTATGTCTACGCTTTCTGTAATTTTTTTTTTCAGGAGGACACAGAGGTTTCTAGGCACCACCCCTTTCTTCTGCAACAAAGAAGATGAACCAGTTAGTGGCATTGATAAAAATACTTCATTAAGCCCAAAGGAAACAAAGAAAGTAATTACAAAGAAGAATTTGCTGAAAATAATTAGTTCAATGAAGGTAGAAATAAATACAGCAAAAAGATTTCAGATGATGAAAGTCCAAAAAAATCAGAATCAAACAAAAGACTTGCAAGAGAGTAAGGAGGGTAGAAATATGGAGAGTACAAGTAGCATGTTCCAAAAAGCTACCGAAGACCAAGCTAAGAGGTAAGGTCTTGGATCTGTTATCTACTGCTCTGTGCCTGCAAGGATCATGGGTATTGTTGTGGTTGATATATGCCATCAAGTTGCCTACAACTTATGGTGGCCCTATGAATGAGCACTCTCCAGAATGTCCTGTCCTCAACTGCCCTGGCTCAGCTTTTGCAAACTTCAAGCCTGTGGTTTCCTTTAGTGAGTCAGCCCATCTCACGTTTGGTCTTCCACTTTTCCTGGTGTCTTCCACCATCTATGTTTACTTAGAACAGTAGTGAAGCATCAATATCTCATCAGTATATATGTCATATAATACAGCTGCAATGAAGAGCCATGAGGACACTCAAAGATGCATTGTTCCAGTTCAGATTGTATGGAAGTGTTCTGCAAAGGAGAATATTCCTTGTTTTTTTTGTGCAGAAAATTACAGCACTGTTGATTTTATGGTCTTATGAATCAACCTCTTGGAAACCGTGGCAGTCCTGACAGTTTGCAGAGTCTATATTAGCCCAGCATTGCACAAAATATTTGCTCACGTAAAGCTTTGTCCAGTGCCAGAAACTTCAATTAAGGCTTCTGTGCATGTCACAAATCATATTTGATTAGCAATGCAGCTCGTGGATCCCTGTATGAGAGTGATCATATTACTAGGTAGAACTTTTATTAAGCAGAACAGAAGGTTAGCCAGTTCTTACTTGTATGTAACTATGACTAATTGAGTAGCTGTTTATTGGTTTTAAAAAAGAGAGAATACTTAATTTGTGGCTTGCATTGGACTGATTAATGAGTAGAATAAGTCTGTATAAATTTTACCATGACTAAGTAAAAGTTCTAAAGAGGGAAAAAAAATTCTTTTGGGAGGAGGCACTGTTTTAGAAAAAAATATTCCTTGTTCAGTGTCAGGGAATGCCTATTTTTAGGTGGTGCTGTTCAGGAAGAAAGGCTAAGATAAAAGTGGAGACCTGAATGGCTTGATCCTCATTTCTAAATTAGAGCAGCTCCTGGCCTTCCTTTACAGTGGTGTCAAATAAGCCGTCCTTACTTCAAATGGCACATTTTGAAGCGGGGCTGCTCATGTGATAGAGATCTGAGCCGACTGTGGTCTGCAGCGAAAGAGAAGTGAGAGGAAGAAAGGTGGTTGTATTTCTTCACACATTAAACAAAAGCACCCTTGTGTGTTTTTGTGCATGATGTGAAGTGAGACACAGCTTTCCTCCTATGGGGAAGGTTGATGTGAATTCAGCCCAGTGAAACCTCAAAGACGCTGTGTTCAGCAGGGGATCAGGTGGCCATGTGTCCTACCCTTTCCCCCGAAAATAGGACAGGGTCTTATATTAATTTTTGCTCCAAAAACACATTAGGGCTTATTTTCAAGGGATGCTTTAGTTTTTTTTCATGGACAACAATCTACGTTTATTCAAATATAGTTATGTCATCTTTTTCTGGTTGCTGCACAATGGTGGAAAGCGGGGTTTCACTTAACTGGGGCTTATTTTGGGGGTAGGGCTTATACTACATGCATCTTGAAAAATCGTACTAGGGCTTATTTTCAGGTTAGGTCCTATTTTAGGGGAAACAGTGTACTTTCTAGAGGATGCCCATCTGTTTGAAGGACAAAGAAGGACACAAAGAGAGAGGGAAGTGGCCTTGAGTTCCCCATCAGTAGTTAGCATCTGGACATCAGACTGAGCAGGCATACAGGCTATTTCCTGCTCACAATCTTTGCAGCTTTATTTTAAGTACAGTATTTATTCCTAAATTTGGATTTGTACATCTAAAAGAATATGCTATGCATATTTTATTGCACATTTGTTCCCATGTTGAAGGGAACAGAGGTTTGAGGCATTTCTTGCTTTTTGACAATGAAGTGGCCAGCCTAGTAAGAACATGAGGCTTGGTTCAAGGCCAGAGCAAGCATCCTCTCTAACATTTTAGTGTGTAATTACTGGCAAACTTGATGCTGCAATATGAGTGGCTCTGGCTGCTGTTCTCTTTTGGGCCTAGTTTTAAGATACTAATGCTGACCTTTCAGAGCCATTGGAGCTAGGTTATTTGAAACCCCAGTTATACCCATATGGACATTGAGATCAACTTCTTAGGCCTTACTTTCAGGTCACCAGTGACAGTCATTATGCAGAGGGAGTAGAAGCAACAGGCCCTTCTGTGTGGTGGGCCCAGATCTCAGCAGTGACCTCCTAGGGAATCTGTGTTCCCCTCTCTCCAGCTTTTAAGAATGCCCTAGTGACTTTTAAACCCTGAATTTGGATGATTTTATGGTAATTATCATAGAATCATAGAAAAGTGAAATTGAAAGGGGCCTACAAGTCCAACCCCCTGCTATATACAGGAATACAATCAAAGCATATCTGCCTGGTGCTTATTCAAGTTTTTCTTGAACGCCTCCAGTGTTGGAGCACTCACCAATACCCGAGGTAACTGGTTCCACTGTTGTACTGCTCTAACAGGAAGGTTTTCCTGATATTCAACCAAAATCTGGCTTCCTTTGAGCCCATTGTTGTATGTCCTGCACTCTGGGATGATCAAGAACAGATCTTGCCCCTCCTCTGTATGACAGTCTTTCAAATGTTTGAAAAATGCTATCATATCATCCCTCAGCCTTCTTTTCTCAAGGCTAAACATGCCCAATTCTTTCAGCCTTTTCTCATAAGGCTTGGTTTCCAGCCCCCTGATCATCCTTGTCACCCTCCTCTGAACTTGTTAACAATTTGTTAGCATATTGAAGTGTGGTGTCCAGAACTGGACACAATGTGCACCCTGAAAGGCAGATTAGAAATCATAGTAGAAGTAGTTAATAGAACATGTTTGAAAAGAAAAGTTTATTGTTCTGAAAAATACAAATTTGGTAAAATGAAATGTGAAGATGTTGGTGATGCTCTCGCTTGCTTTGAAATAATTGCTGCTGGTTTTCTTTCAGCGACTGTTTTTAATATGGCCGATAAAACTAGGGAAAACAAGCAGCAAACAGAAATCAGTGTCTCTTTTTTTGCACTCCTTTCTTCCAGTAATGTAGGGATTAAGCCAGAGTTGGTGGAAGCTGCCTCTGCCGTTGCCTCCTCACTCCCTTTCAAAAAAGAAACTACAGTTTCAGAATTGCTTCAGATACTGAAAAAACACAATGACCTGGTTAGTGGACGTCGGAACGTAAGTGCCCCAGACATAAGGTGTGTACACCCTAGGCTGTTTCTACTGTTGCATTGGGATCTTTGTTTTGTTTTTACTGTTAAAGACCAGCACAGTATCAGTAACTGATCTTTGTTTTACTGTGCATATGTGTGTGTGTGTTTTTATATACTGTACTGCATTTCATAGTTGAAGAGATCAGGCTGATTTATTCTTAGAATATAATTATACTAAAAAAACATTTTATATATGAAATCACCATGTTAGCCTCTGCCAAAAATTCCTGAGAGGCAAGATTTAAATATGAATTGTGAAATAGCTTTACCAAATATTTCAGGACCTGAGATGGATCCTATATTAAGGAAGGACCTTGTGATTCTGCAGTGTAGTTCTTCTTTCGAGTTAGTCTCAATAATTAAAGACTTTCCCTGTCTCCTGCGGCTTGTGTTACTCACATGTAATCTGTTTCATTGTGTGGAATATATGGGAGACATAAGATGGAAGAAAGAAGTCTCTAATTGCTAGATATCCCCTCCCCTGTTGGTGACATCATCACCCTTCACAGCTCTAACATACACAAGAAGTGAGATAATATCTTCTGGACATTATAGTCCACATTGAGTATAATTGTTTCTGTTCTGTTTCCATCGGTTATGTGCTTCAGCAGTGCCAGGGAGACAATTTAGGATTCTGCATGCCTTAGCATCAAAAATCTTTGTTCTGCTTCTAAGCTAAATTATATTACCAACCATTTCCATACTGTTTGGATAGAATCTCTCAGAATCCTATGTCCTGCATTGCTGCTAACTACTAGAAGATTCTGTGAATTGTAGTCCAAAACATTTTTTTCAAGCTTTGGTTGATTCTTCCCTCTGTGTTTTGATGCTGTGAAAATGTTGTCTTCCAGGAAAATAGGCCATTCCTATTATCTATGTTAATACTCATAATATCATGACTACTGTTACTGCTTTTTCCAAGTTGGACAGAATTATTTTTTGAGCTAGGTTCTGTATGTTTGTGATTATCTTGGTTTCTCTACATGCTTGTTATAGTTTGTATTTATGCCTGTTAAGCAGGGTGAATAGAACTGGAGAAAGATGTACAGGACCTTTTAGGGAAATGAATTAATGGCTGAAATCCTGTTCTGCAGCTATGTGTGACTAACATGAAACTGTGGAAGTGGTAGTGAAAATTGTGGCAGGGTGGAAGTAATATCCAGAACAGTCATGATGGAAATTGTAGGATTAGTAACAACAACCATACTGCACAGTGCTGGCTGCCTGCATACTTACATAAGAGTAAACTGTACATTATGCCAGCTTGAGCAGAATGTCAACCAATGCTTCCTGTAACTGCTGGAACTTAATAGTTGTATATTATTGAGCTAATTTATTTTCTGCTATGTCACGTCAGTGGCTGATTGTCATCATTAGCAACCCAAGAGTATTGAAATCCAGGGTGAGCTCATCCACTTTATTTCCAGATGTTACTTTATTTTGGTACTAAAAATAACAGAATGTTTAATGGCATCTTAAAAACTAAGACATTTATTGTTTATTGGGCTATTTCTCTGGAATTTATGCTGGTCATGATTCCTAACTTGATGTCATTGGCATATTTCATCAGACTATTCCAAGCTCCCTTCCAAAGATCTCTACTAAAAATGATGAATAAAGGAGGTACCAGGACTTTTCTCTTGGACTTCACAAATTATTCTTTTAAAACATTTGATTATTAGCAGGACCTTCTATCATTTTCCCTTTAAATGTTTCTTTATTGAACCAAACAGTAGTGTTTATACATGTTTTCCTTTTTCATAGCCTCTTGAAATGCAGGTAGGTAGCTGTGTTTCAAAGCCTTCTTTCAGAAAATCCGCCTGCCTTTTTGATGATCAGTAAATGGATCACCCTTGGAGCTTCGTTTCTGTGTTTCTTGGATACATGAGTTTCTGCTAATAGACCACTGCTGAGTTGTACTCTGTGCAGTTGTATATATGACTTGTGGATATCACTACTCTTTGCCCATCAGTTTGGCAGACATAGGAAGGGCAGAATGTTTGCTAAATGGAAATAACTATATAGAATTAGTGGGCAGAATTATATTTCTGTCAGTGGAGATTATGGCATGGCTTTATAAAAATACTAAAAGCTTCAGCTACATTACCAATTGAACAAAATCTAGAATTCAACATGATTCCTAACTTGATGTCAGGACCTTTGTTGCAGCCCCAAAGCGTTGAAAGACAGGACTACTGACCACTATTCCTGTTGACTCTTGGGAAGGTGTGGAAGCTGCCATCTATATTCTGGCGGGTCTTCCAGTGAGTGAAGAACCATACAACATTGCTGCTCTAGGTTTTTAAAAAGCATGTTAGTTTAAAGTGCTTATTCATGCTTTATTTTATAATCAGCTTTAAACTGAAAACAGACATGGAATTTATTGGTGTATCTGTTTTAAAAATATTACTCTGTTGTTTAGTCGAGGAGGCTCTCAGGGCAGCTTATAAGTCAGTAGAAATCACCCTCATGCTTCAGAGTCTGGAAGAAACTGCATAAAGGGAGGGAAAAGAAGAGGAAAGCAGGGGCTAGTCATTTGTATACATACAACATTTTAAGTAAGGCTGAGTGTTGTTTTTTCTTGTTGTTGTTTAACCACATTTTAACTACTGTACTGTAACGGAAGACTGTTAGTCTGTATAGAGAATGCAGTTTACTCATTGTTGACATTCTTAATTTCAGTAAAATCGTTTCCAGCATGAAGGTTCAGAAAGAGAAGTCACCACAAGTTACCTCTAGGTTATCCAGTCTGATGTTGTCTGACAGTGATGGACAAAAGTATAGGACAAAAAAAGCACGGAAAAGGTAATTCTCTTTAAATGTTCTCCAACAGGCTCCTATTTCTCATATGCTTGCTTGTTGTAATCAAAAGGGGTGCGCTATGCCAATCAAATACAGGTTTACAGACAGTGCACCAGCTGCTTAATGAAGACTTTGCTGAAGATGGTCTGATTAGCAGCTAATTCATGGTAAGTGTTTTTGTTACTTTGGCTTCTTTGACTGTGTTGTGAAGTGGAATAAAGTTATCAGCTAGTCACAGTACTTATGAACAACAGTTGAAGCATTTGTGGCAGCAGTAGGAAAAATTAAAAATCTAGATCACACTAGTTATCGAAGCAATAAGCGGAATCGGGGATGCCATGCAATTCTATTATTATGAGCTTGTTGTTCAAAGTCCAATATGCATGCTATAGAGTTAAAAATAATTCTTCCTTGGATTTTGTATTCAAGAAAGAAAATAAAAAGTGAAGAGATACAGACTCGTGGCCATGATGGCTGTCAGTCTAGGATTGATATCGCTTAGTAGCTGGAAGCATAAACTAGTCCAAATACAGAAATATATTAGCATGTTTAGCCACAGGCTCCTGTACATAAAGTTATTTGAAACAATATTATGTGAACATCTGAATATAAGTTATGTACTTAACAAATGATACGTTATTTTCTTGTGTTTTTGCAAAGAAAATAAGTTTCTATCTTAATGGCTAGAAATTGCAGAGGATAGACAATATCTGCTGAAATCTAGGAAAGCAGAGGATTGTTTGAATAAGATTACTACCTTTTGAAGGAAGGACTGTGTGCCCTGGATAGTATTACATTTTTCCACATGACTAGTAGAATGAGAATAAATGCTTAAAATCTCCCCACCCCCACCCCTTTTCCCATTGTTTTATCTTGAAGAGAACTATATTCAGGAAGAGGACTTGATATTTTCACTCCTACTGCTGAAGCAAAGGGAGCACTTCAGACAGAGGGAGCCCTTCAACCAGGTTAGTGGTGAAGGAGGAGCAACAAACCAGCAACAACCATTTGATGTAATAAAAGATATCCATGGTGCCACAGTAATTATATTGGTTGTTAAGATACGGCGAGTCGTGTAGGCCTCCTAGAGAAGCTGACTTCATGCTACATCTGTGTGTCTAGAAAAGATTATTGTCTTAATGGATACCTGGATGATGAGGTCTAGCACTACTGCCACACAGTACTATTGATACTGAAATGAACTAACATTTGTATACTGTACAAGTATTTGCGTTCAGTATAACGTTTCCAGTCATGCTACCAGTATGTTTTTGAAAGCCATGTTAAAGTCACAAAGCACGTTTGAACTCTTTGTTTCTTTGTAGACATGCATAGGATTACACTAATGCACCTGTAATAAATAAGAGAGCTGCTAATACCCTGTTTCCCTGAAAATAAGACCTAACCTGAAAATAAGCCCTCGTAGGATTTTTCAGGATGCTCGTAATATAAGCCCTGCCCCCAAAATAAGCCCCAGTTAAATGAAACCCCGCCCTCCACCATTGTGCAGCAAGAAGATGGCCTGACTGCATTTGAATAAATGTAGATTGTTGTACATGAACAAAAACAAAACATCCCCTGAAAATAAGCCCTAATGCCTATTTTGGAGCAAAAATTAATATAAGACCCTGTCTTATTTTTGGGGAAACACGGTGTGCATAACAGTTGCTCACAGGTAGCATATTTTGCACATGATTTTCCTAGCAATGTTTGTTACTAGTCCATAGGTGGTGGGCAAGCCTCCTTTTGCTGATTGTTCTGCTACCTGGATTGATCAAGAACTCTGGTGTGTGCTCTTGCACCTCAAGCCAAAGGAGCCACCTTCCCTTTCCAAGAACAGCATGTCTTAGCAGCCCTTCCTTCAGATATTTGCTCCTCATGTCAGAGAAGGAGGCCAGTGGCTCAGAACCAAAGTACGTGATTTATATGCAAAACATCCCTGGTTAATTCTTGGCATCTCCAGATACAGCTGGGAGAGTCTCCTTTGCAACAAAGGGCTGGATATCCTGTACCCCTGTTTTTGGTTTTAAACCCCAGGTCCCATGGTTCCTAAACTTTGACTATTCTAGATGGAGTTAATGGGAATCGTCATCCCAAATGTCTGAAAAGTCATATCATTCTCACTCCTTTGCTTAGAAAGTGACTGCCCATCATTGGGGATCGTTTTGAGCCAGATGGATCAATGCTCTCCATGTAAAGCATCTCTCTGTGTTTTTAAGAAATAGAAGCTCAAAGAAGAAGGTGTGACTTAGGGGTTAGGGGTTGAACCATGGGCAGATTCTACTAACAGCTACCTTGATGCTCTTTCCTAGTTTTGGGAGTATTTATTCATGGACTTATATTTGGAATTCATCTAATCCACCTTCATTAGAACAGAAGCCTTGTTCCTGGAACAAAATTGTCCATGCCGGTCCAGCTTTCCCTTTTATAAGACATAGAGACAAATTCTTGGAAACGAGCCTGTCGTTTTCAAGCCATTTGAGTCATTCCTGAAAATATAATCTAGAAAAAATTAACATAAATCATAATTACTTTTCAAATGCGGACTAAAGTACATAGTTTCAAAGGCACGATTTTCTTTGGACTGTGCTTTTATTTACAAATAATGATAGTAATAAATTCAAGCAAGTAGAGGATCTCTTCATCTTCCCCGCCATACAGTGGAAATTCTATTGATGTTTCTGCTAATCAGCAGTCTTGGTAAACTGTAACCATACTGATGAGGAAAATGAGATAAAGGAGTGATGTAGTAAAAAAAAAGAACACCCCTGTTTTTAATACATTGTGCTCGAAATATGTTTCCATAACTCTGACACTAATTGGGATTTGTTTGCAGTAGCAGAAAGAAACAGCTATTTTAGAATTTTGAAACTGCAGCGTTCCCCCCCCTTTCCTCCCCCAGAAACTTGACAATCTTGATGCTGTTTGTCATCTCCATCTAGCAACAACCTCTACGGAAATATGGCTTGTTCATAATATATGTTGTTGTTTTCAAATATCAATATAGTGACACCTCCAACACTATGGGATCTGGAACTTGCTGAAGAAATTGCAGCAGTCTATCAGCAAGCACCTGATAATGCTTTTGAGGAGATGATCCAGTGGACAAAAGAAGGGAAACTTTGGGAATTTCCAATTAACAACGAAGCTGGTATGTATCCCAAGGAGATTCTGTCCACTCAGTTGTTCTTCCCACAATATGTGTTTGTGCAATACAATAAAACATATGATGAATCACTCTTGGAGTGGTTTTCAGGTTGTTTTTGACCGCTTTCTATAAAAAATAAGGTGAGAGCCCACCCCCATGCAAGTTTTCTTTTCAGTTTTATACAGCCGGCCCTAAGCACTTAATGGAACAGCTCAAAATCCTGTTGAACGAACAGGTGCCTGCTTGTGAAATGTTGGACATCTACTCACATGACACTACATTTCTTTTAAGTCACAGTTTTAAGACACACATAGGAACCCAATTCCCGATTGATGCTGCCACTATTTGCTTACGGAATCCGTTTTTGCCAGTCTCATTATTATAGCTATTATTTGTTGATAGCTGTCCAGTACACCCAGTGTGGTGTATTGGGTAGAGTGTTGGAGTAGGACTCATGAAACCTGGGATCAAATCCCTGCTTGTCATGGAAACTCACTAGCGGGGTGAGGATGGCAATGCTGAACCATTTCTTGAACGTTTCGCAAACCTTGAAAAGAATATTGGGTTGGCTAGAAGTCAAAAGGGATGACAACAACTATTCATTAATGCTTCAGCTTTACAATTTCAGTTTATCCCAACATCTTCTGAAAGCATGACGCTGCTGGAGCCTCTTAACTAAATGAATATTTCAGAGGGGCAATTTTTAAGTGGACATTGTGATTTTCTAACCGCTCTCCTCAGGAGGGCTAGCTTTTGGTAGAAGATATCTGACCTTGGATTTTTTTTTCCTGGGATAAACTTTGAGCAGCAAAACCACTGAGAGTAAGAAGTAGTATGTAGAACCAGTCTCTTTATTAAGAGAGACCATCAAATGGCAGATCACTTTCCTGTAGAGTGCAGTTTCTCTAGAGAGCCAGCTGTTGGAGAGAAATTGGTTGAGTCCCAGGTGCTTTGTTGTAAGTTGATTGCTCCTTGTATATGATTTTACAAACTAACAAAATTCTAAGTTGTTCAGTAGCAACAGACTTTCTTTTCCCATCTCTGTGTTCCTGTGTTTTAGAAAGCAGGGGAGTTTCCTTGATGGCTACCCAAAATAAAAACTATAGTAGGATCCCAGTAGCCACCCAGTGGAAGAACTGAAATGACAGCGTCCACATGTACAAATGCTAGATTTATAGCACTGTCCTGTCTCTAGTCTCACAAGCCTTACTAGCCTGGTCCGATCAATTGGTATTTGGAGAAAGCGAGTCTTGTTGGCAAACATTTCATCCAGGTTTTGCATCTATGTCGTGGAAGTTGTGCTGTGTTTTCCCCCCTCTGGCAGGCTCCCCTTCATGCAGCTGATCACATGAGTGTAAGCACAGCCGATTTTATAGGCAACCCTTCCCCATTCACACAAAAAAGAGTTTTCTGAAGGGGAAGAAACACTCACACAATTGCTCTTGTACAGTCATGTGAGTGAACAGGATTCTAGCCCTTCTGTTTAACAGGCATACTCCTAAATAATCAGAGCTCATTTTGTGTGTTTATTTGGGGTAGAAATTAAGGTAAAAGAAGAGTGGATGGGGTGCCTATGTTTTAAGGGAGGTGGAAGAGGGCTGATCTGTGGTCTGAATGGCCTAGCTGTTGGGGTACAGCTTCAATCCTACGTTTTTGCTTTAAACCAAAGGGATTTTCTCATTGGGGAATATACTAGTCATACCTGCAGACTGACTTCAGTCACTGGCTGTCGTGAATGTAATATTTTCAGATAGGTGATGGGATCCAGCACTTTAAAGGCCCCTTTGGTCCTGCAGCTGGCATGAAAGATTGGCAAAGAGAGTTGCTCCCCCCCCCCAAGTCAGGGATGTTACAGAATTTCCCAAATGTTTTACAAGTTTAACAAAGCCCTTAAGATTCTGAAGGTGCCTAATGAATATAGGTTACAGATTATTTTAAACCATTTCTTAATGCCCATTCTCATTCCTGTGGCTTTGTTGGTTGCTTTTGTGAGACAGAATTCAAATGCATTGTTAGAGACTGTTCAGGGAGACCTGTGTGATCCAAAGTTATCCTGTGAGAGGACAAACTAGGAAATTGAGTGGAAGACTTTTTTTGTCCTTACTGCAAAAATGCAGGTTCTTTTGGGGAAAAGAAGGATAGAAGTGGTGGTTGGAGAGAGGCTGGCATATTTTGAGGTGGTATGCCATTCATTCTCAGTTGTATTCATTCTCTGGAGAATAGCAAAATGCTTGTTTTCCAGCAGGATTGATTTCTGACTGTTTTTGTGTTATTGACTTCTTTAGGATTCGTGGATGATGCTGAATTTCACGAGCATATATTTCTGGAAAAATACTTGGACGAATTTCCTAAGGAAGGCCCAATTCGTCATTTCATGGAGCTTGTGACTTGTGGACTTTCCAAAAATCCATACTTGAGTGTTAAAGAAAAGGTGGAACACATTCATTGGTTTCGGGATTACTTTAAGGAAAAAGAAGAGCTGCTTAAGGAAATTGAAGCACATGAGAAGGAAGCCTTGGCTAAAAGCAAGACTCTGTCAAAGTGAAAATAAAACATCAACAATAACACTAATTTTATGTAAATGCCACTGGATTGTTATATATCCAATCTGGAAAACAGATGACTATATAAAAAGTATTTTTAAAACTGTTCGCCATTGTTGTCATTTTAGGAAAAGTTGGAGATCCACATTTCTTAAATACAGAATTGGCAGAAAAGAGATGCATTCAGATTGTTCAAGGAACAGTTGGAACTGTCCATCTCTGTTAACTCCATTCACATTCTTAAGACACCCCTTCCTACTCTTTAGCTAATTATATTTGGAAGTTAAATGAATCCATAGGAGGAGGACTTATAGTCATACAAAGCTCTTGGTGGCAATTATTATTCATAGATCAAAATCCTCTTACCTAGTAACACAAATAGTGTAACTTTTGGAGGCAAATTGCCTCAAATTAAGAAAGCACCATAGGCATTATCTGTTGCGCATTGAACTGTGTGATTGATAGTCAAATTGGTAATGTTTACAGTGATGTCTTCCTTTGAGGAAATTTGTGTCCAAAAGTTACGCAATTTGTGTAGCTATGCAAGAAGACTTTGGCCATGGTCTGCCAAAGCTTGGTCTGCGATACATTTTTCAGCATCATGATGGGTGCTTCTGTCTATGTTTATCTGTCTGTATTTTCAGGGTTTTTTATTTATTTATATGCCGCCCACACTACCCGAAGGTCTCTGGGCGGCTTACAACATTTAAAATACAATTAAAAGGCAAAATTATTAAAATGCAATTAAAGTATATACTCTAAAAATTGCCATCAGACCCACAGCTGATATTATTTCAATTAAAAATTTTGTGACTTAAATGGAAGAGAAACCCCAGCATGCTTTCAGATTGTTACCAAAACTTAATAAAACCTTTTCCAGTAAGATATGAATGGTATGAGAATACTGCAGCAACAAAAAGCTGTGCTCTGTGTTCCAGAGGAGGGGTTGCTCTCCAGATGTTATCTGACTGCATCTCTTGTAATCTCTGACCATTGCCGATGCTTGGTGAGACTTGGAGTCCAGCAATGTTTGAAGGCTGCAGATTCTTTTTCGGTCTTCCTTAGTTTATCTTCTGCTGTTATACATTCATTCAATCAGCTGTTTTTGCCAAAAAGCTGGTTCTGATCCAAACTTGCTACTCCCAGAGCTGATGTCGAGAAGACATGGTACTGTGTGACCTCATACTGAAGAGCCTTATAAATACTAACACTCCTGTGTTAATGGATTTGCTGTGGGCTCCAACGACAGCTTGAAATATTTGTGGAACTCTTCAGCAAATCAGAGCCATATCCTGCTGTGTGTTTTGCTCAAAACTACTTTGCTCAGTTGTCATGTGCAGTTCCATCTCCCCAAATTTTTCAGTTAAACACAGAGAGAGAGAGGAGAGAAAGTACTGGAACTTACTGAATGCCAGGACTAAATTTTATCCTAGGAGATTAGCCTTATTTTACGTTGGCTCTTTCCTAACATTTATAATGTCCACTTAGGTTGGGGAGCCTATGGGGCTGATGAGGTCCTTCTGGGCCCCTTCTGTTATTTGCCTTTAACCCTGCACATTTTAGGAATTCTGTCTTGATTTTCCTGTTAATGCTGTGGGGGTCTCATGAACCATACTAATACCTGTGTTCCGGATGGATAAGAATCTGGTTTCTTCAAATCAAACTGATTTAAATTTTTAAAAAATGTTCTTTAATGTCAGAAAATCATTTAAAAAATTTAAATTGTGATTTAAATCAAATCCATGCTGTCTGTGTTGGACTGTGTTTGTGGGGCGTGATGCTGATACGTTGTAACTATGTTCTCTCACTAAACTAAACTTTGTACAGTGGTGCCTTGCAGGACGAAAAACCTGCAAGACGAATGTTTTTTGCGATCGCTGTGGTGCCTCGCAAGACGGCTTCTTCTATGGCCATGCTTCGCAAGACTTTTTTCCCCCCCAAGACCGATGCCTCGCAAGACATAATTCATTTGTCTTGTGAGGTTCCCATAGGAATGCATTGCAATGCATTCCTATGGGAAACTGCTTTTCGCAAGACAAAAATTTCGCAAGACAGCGCTACTCGTGGAACAAATTACTTTAGTCTTGTGAGGCACCACTGTAAATGAAAATATGTCTATTTCCTGCTAGAACTTTAATGGGGTGCATTAGACCTCAGTAGCAGGTTTATACTGGCCAAAAAGGTTGAGGGTTGAAAAATGGGACAGAATAGAATTTTGATTATGCCCTCTTCTTATTTTTCATTGTGAGTTAATTGTCTTTGTGAGTCTGAAGAGAGGGAGGCATGAAATCATATTCATATCTCCAAGGGACCAGATACAGTTACAGTTCTCCGATGAAAGAGCTAAAGTTTTATGGTTAAAGTACGAAGTAAAAATATTAAAAGAATTAATGTTACTGGTCCTCCATGTTGTTTTCTGTAGCCACACTTGAACATAATTCTAAATCACAGTTTAGTTGCGGAAATGAACCAGAGTGAGTCTCATGTTTGCTACTCAGCCCTTCCTCCTCTGATGTAGCCATTTACTGTTGTTTTCAAACTAACAACAAAAAAATGATTCAGTCAATCTAAAACCCTGTACCGTATAGTTTTAGGAAAACCAGGACAGGAAAGCAGCTAACTAGTTAAGGAAAATAAGCTAGGATTGTAAACTATACAGTGTCCCTTGGATGTATGTCTGAATTCAGATATTAACAGTGAACCACTGATCATTGGAAGGAGAAATGGAACTACAGTATAGTAAGAGGTTCCCCTTGACATTTAGTCCAGTCATGTCTGACTCTAGGGCATGGCGCTCATCCCTGTCTCCAAGCCGTAGAGCCAGCGTTTTGTCCGAAGACAGTTTCCATTGTCACGTGGCCAGCGTGACTAGACACGGAACGCTGTTACCTTCCCACCAAGGTGGTCCCTATTTATCTCCTTGTATTTACATGCTTTCAAACTGCTAGGTTGGCAGGAGCTGGGACAAGCAGCGGGAGCTCACTCCGTGGCGTGGATTTGATCTTATGACTGCTGGTCTTCTGACCTTGCAGCACAGAGGCTTCTGTGGTTTAACCTGCAGCACCACCCCTACAGATAGAGCTTAATGGGTGCTGAAGAGGCACATGAGCCTCACTCTCACACGCCCTCAGAAATCACTCTGATATTAGTACATTTAGCACAAAGCTGTGCAGAGCAACCTTGTAAGTATGTTTTGTTGAACGTGTTTAAAGAAATCCCAGGATTGTTAACTCTGGAAAGGTGGGCTTTTAGCTGTAGAAACTGTGTTTCAGCCAAACACAGATATCTCTACAGAAGCCTCTGTGTGCATATAGGGGGGAAATGCTAATTTTCTGTCTGGAAGATTTGATATTTTAAATGTATAAATGTCTGTAGATGTGTTAAAATCTTTTTATGCTTGCTTTACTGTGTAATTTGGAATGCAAAGGTTAGAACTGTAACCTATAATGGGAACTGAGAATCTATGCAAATGTTGCCCTTTGGTTTGTCATCGAGTGGAAGAGGCGATTCTCCTGGAATCACAGGCTCTCCCACAAGATGTCAGCATTGATCTATTTTTTTTCTGGGTTTGATGTAGGCTGTTTTCCCCGGTGAAGGATAACTGAAACTGAACAACAACCTGCAAGAGAAATTACTGCTACTAAAGAATGACACTGCCAAAATAGGATGCAAAAGAAATTATTTTTGCAACAGATTACTAACTTCATGTTTTGTTGTTGCATTTTAAATTATTTATTTAAAATATAGCTGTACAGTTCCTCCAAACAGAAGTGCTGTTATGAGAACTGCTGTTAGAGTAACTCTGTCAATAGTGAGTATGAAAGCACTCTTTCCGACTTCCTTGGTGTTCTTTGGCCTTAGTGTAGGACCCCTAAATTATCCATCTTATTCTTGGCCTAATCTGGGATACTGTGGTTGCTTGGCTGAACTGTAGCTGTGGTTTAGCTCAATTCCCATTGCTTCCCATTTTCCCCTAATGCTCATGTTCTTCTGTTGTCTGGAAAGTACCTGACTACCCATGCCCTATTCAGACATAAGAGGCAAAGCTTCCAAATACGTATATCTTCATTCTTTGTTCAGATTCTGTATGCAGAAAAACTTGGGTTTTTGTCCTCCTCCAAAACCTGTTATGTACCGTATGTTAGCCAGACTAACCTCTCTGTTGTTTAAGGTATGCTGCAAAGAGGCCTTGAGAACTGACCATACGATCCTAATTGTGCACAGAGCTAAGAAACTATGAATGGTCACTTTTACTAATCGTGATGATATATATATAGATAGATAGATAGATTTTAATTTAGAGCTGAAATGATTCATCACATGAAGAATCCAATGACTTTGCTGTGTATTTCATAACAAATGCCATGGCCTCTAAAGCATGGAGTGACGGCAAGCACATACGGAACTCTATTAGAGTGAAAATGAAAGAACCCTTTTCCTTTTTTTAATCCTCCGTTCTGTTGGGGGGGGGAGGAGGATGTCATCAGACACTGAAAATATTGGGTGAAGATGCTGACTGAGAGGACAATGTGCCTGGGTGGGACTATTTCTGCTGGTATGGGCTTAAATTCACAATATAATACATAGGGTAAATCTGGAAGGAGCTAATACATATAACATACTGTAGATCATAAAAACCATTGCAATAGGGCCTGCAGGGTTGAAGTCAAAATGGAAGAATGCTCCACTGACGGAGTTCTGTGTACCTCCAGTTTGGTGCTGGGCAAGCAGAGCTTGCTCTGTGGGCATGAATGGGCCTTCCTTTTGCAAGAGGAGGTACTAGATCCATCCTTGGGCAGGATTGGAAAATGTCAGACTGCTTATGCAACAGTCCATTGTATGAGTGGGCCAACCAAACGGGATTCTGGTACAGGGTTTTTTAGATTAGCAGGGGTGATGATGATACCATCTCCCTTCCCTGTTCCCTCGGAGTTTAGCTGCATTCCTGAGAGCAACTGGGGGAAGCATGAATTTTTCCATCAACAGTGTAACAGGGATAGCTCACAACGATGCAGAGTATTTGGGGTAGGGGTGACTGGGTGGAAATAGGTAACTAAGATCCATTAATTCAGGAGTGACTGAATGCTAGGGGTGATTTAAAGTGCC